CTTATTCGGTGGATCATGGGGGGGGGGGGTGAGTATATATATATATACATAGATAGATAGATAGATAGATAGGGTTTAGGGTTTAGGATGTGTATAAAGTTTATATAGGACTTACATAGACTTACATTTTTTATAAGGTTTATTCACATTTGATAGGGATCATGGAAAAGAACATGGAAGCTAGTTTTCACAGTTTAGGGTGCCAGACGGATCAAGGTGTCGTGTTCTGGGTTTAAGGCAAGTTTACACAGGTTGGTCTCTTTGAATTGGGCCGCTGCTCTATGGCGAAAAAACATATATTGGCACATCTCTCTCTCTCTCTTTATATATATATTTGCACTCACATATCGATCCTCATGGTGTTTTGGGGGCTATAGTCCGTACTCATGATTTAAGGGGGTGCAACATGGACAAATCCTGAAAATCATGCTGCTGGGTCTTTGGATCACTTCCAGGCTTTTCCTTGGAGCACTTATGTACTTGAGCCTTGACAGTTACTCTGGAAAATGAGGAACTTTGACAAACCTTGTAAAGAGGAAAAGCAAGAGGAGGGGGAAAAAACAACTTAGAGTAGGAGCGATGGCAAAACTAATGAAGTTCATGTAACAACTTCAGAAACTAGTGATTCCACAGTGGTTTGCTACGAGTTTAGGGGCTTTTCCGTATGTGCAGAGAAATCCTTGCACGCAAGATCTGTAAGGGGTAGAACAGTGATTCGGAAGTCATGTTTAAGACGTTAGATCCTAGCTAAACCCCGTAAACCCTAAACCGCACCTTAGATGAGCAACGAGGTTTCAGAATCAGCTCTCTCATTTTCATTTTGCGATCAGCAAAAAGCTTTTCAAACGAATGACTCCGAAGCTGTTAGTAAAAGCGGGCCCAAGTATTGGGTGGTGCTCAGGGCATGCTGGAACTTAGGGGTCCCGTTGTCGGGCTGAACTGCATTCGGGAAAATATTTTTGAGGGGCATATGGCAGGGAACCCACTGTTGGAACACTTTTTTCTGCCCACGTTCTGTCCACACGTGTAGTTGATTCTCTCAGTCCTGATACGTTTACGAGGCCTGGACCTAACATACAACACATGTGAGGTTGGATTTTACAATGTTTTTTCGTGAGGGTATGAGGTTTTTTTGTTTTATACGAGACGCTCTCTTTGATGTGTTTCGACCGCTGCTGAAAGAGTTTCAGCCCATTGTTTGAGGACTCTCTTCAATGCATTTTGGTTTGGGGCCCTTAACTGAATCCAGACCATCCCCTCTACAGTAATCCCCAGGGCTCTCAGTAACATGGGCGCCCCATTGAGGACGCCCATGTTCAATTTTCTGGGTGCCATTTCTAGGGGTGGATGTCTACTTATTAAATCGGCTCAGCACCATTGATGAGTTAATATTTTTTGGCATCCGCTGTGGGGGCGTGCAAACTTGAATCCTCCCATACAAACCTGGACCCTTCGACAGATGGCACGGGCCTCGGTCAAGCGCGAGACCACGGCCAGGTCCTACATCCAACCAGCCGCTGGGGCTCTTTGAAGTTTTGGGGTTTGGAGTTTATTCAGGGAATTTTGCATTGTTAGGCTTGTACGCGTTTCGGTCAAGGGATCATAGTATACCACCCGAAATGAAACTAGAGGATCGCAACTACACATGAGGCCGGGAGCTAGCGAGAAGGCTCTACTAACTTTCTTCCTTCCTACCTAGCTAATTATTTTTATCTAGCCACAGTAGGAAAAAAGGCGTCGGAATTCTGGCTTCGGCTTCGCGGTATCATGCATCATAAGGGACTCCCCACGTACCCAGGCGGGCCTTAGCTAAATTCTCGAAGTATCTTTTGTTCAGCTGTTCGCTGGGTTCCTTATATGCACATGCAGGTAGGATATCCGCAAGTAAGTCGTCGAGGTAGATGGCGGAGTACATGGGGATATCCCTAAAGTCAGTAGAATACAGGTCCATACAGTGGAGTTCCAGATATAATACAGGTCCTTATATAATTTCCATTTTCTGGAAGCAGTAGCTTAGGCCAAGTCCGACGACGTGGTTGCATTCTTTGTTGCTCACATGTGTCATAAGAGTGATGAGCCGAGCTCCACACAGTAATCTCGATTGCAGTGGCATGTTTTGGTAAATGTCAAATCGGAATAGCTCTTATAGCAGATGAGGACCACCAGCAGACCCATGTTCTTTGAGACACGCTCATGCGGCTGTGTCTCCAAATCTCGATTCCTGATAGGGACGCGCACCACCCTGCCCTCCACACACGTCAGGGCACTAAACAGGTCCAATTCCGAGAAACTTCCAGATATTCATCTAAGCTGGGACCATTCATGGGCCTAAACCCTAAACCGTAATCCTCGCTTAAGTTGTTAAGATCTGACCCTAGCCTAACTCCTAAACTAGGTGGCGCTTTGGGCTGCTAAACAATTTCCCCTATTGTATAAGGGAAGCTGCTCGTACACAATTTTGGGACCTTTAAAGTGCACCCGGCCTAAACTCCTTAAAGCGGTTTATATCGGGGATTCTATCGGGGACTGTTATAGGGGTTATTAAGGGGGATACTAGGAGCTTAGACAAAGGCTCATGTCCAGACCGCAGGGGTACCCCTATCCCCTAAACCCTATCCCCTAAACCCCTAAACCCTACACCCTAAAACCCTAAAACCCTAAACCCTAAATAAGCCTAAACCCTAAAACCCTAAACCCTAAACCCTTTCCCTGGAGCCGAGGAGCTGGTGATCCACACGGGCAAAACGCCGAAGAGTTCGCCCAAGCATGCGACGTAATTGGGAGTTTCCAAAGCTTAGGGGTCCCCAGTGAAGAGTTCCCGCAATTCTTCGGGTTTTAGGGCCCAAATCCTACAAACATAATCGAATGGTATTTGGGCCCTGAAGCCCTACGATTTGGGTCCTTGGACCCTCAGGGTTAGGGTAGTGTTGGAAATTAGAGGGAATCACATGGTGACCCCTAGTTTTGGGATCCCAGGAGCATGGGCCAGGGAACGGTGGGTGCGCTTCAGACTGGGAGCCTGTTGCTTTTTTCAAGAAATGGCCACAGGCCGCCCAGGTATTCACATGTGCTAGAATTTGAGAAGAACTTAAAGGGGGATTATATAGGGGACTGTTATGGGGGTTATTGAGGTGGACACTAGGAGTTTGGACTGTAGCTCTTCTTGGGCAGGGTTTAGGGTGTAGGGAGACATACTGTGCCACCTCCCCTACGCAAAAGCCATAACAAGACATAGCAAACGCACCATGGACTCACCTAGCAGCCCTTTGGAGGCTGGACAATTTGTTTCTGAGGACATGTTTACAGGGCTCCCAGCTGAAGGCCCCCCCCCCAGTTCATGAAGACCTTACTTAAAGGGTCCAAGGCTCAAATAGATTATATTCCCAGGTGTAGGGTTTAGGTAGAGGAGCCCGTTGAGGCCCAACTGAGTGACAGATGAGCTATAGTCTAAACTCCTAGTATCCCCCTGAACAACCCCCGCAATACTCCCCTATATAACCTGCTTTTAAGGAGTCTAGACTATAGCTCATATAGATGCTTGGACCCTTAAGGACAGATTGGCAGGGATAGCCGGATAGCTCATCACATCGCAACAGCCGACTGGCGTGCTGCACAGTCAGAGACCACTATGGGCTATTAGACCCTAAAATTCCCCATTAGGACCCTATTAAGGGTGTAGGGTTTAGGGGTTTAGGGGTTTAGGGGTTTAGGGGTTTAGGGGTTTAGGGTTTGGGGACCCTATTAAGGGTAGATTGAGGTACCCTTAAGGTCTAATAGCCCATAGTGGGAATCGAAAAAATCGTCAGCGTAGCGTCGGGCAGTTCAAGCTACACCAAGGCTCCGCAATAGTAGTTCTGCTTCGGACTTTCTATGCTTGAAACTCGTTTGCAATGGGTTAAACTATACCACCCAAAAGGAAGCACACATGAGTTCAGAGTATATCCTGCGCGCTTGCGACTTAACTTGCGCTCCTGATCTTCGCCTCCAAGCCGCCCATTCCCAGCAAAATTCCCCATTGAGGACATCTGGCACGACCGAAAATCTCCCATGTACTTTAAGTGGACCCCCCACCATGCAATAGTGATTGCAAGGGATTATAAGGATTACATTAGGGCCCTATTAATTTCCTAGTATACCACTATTACAGGGTGGAGGGTCCTCCTAAAATATACTGCCATTCCTACATAATGGATCCTCGACCCACTGGAATCAAGTAAAGACATCAAAACATCACGTACCAGACCTTTTTCATGGGCAATTCTTGCACTGTTTTTTCTAGGTATTGTAGACCCCTAACTAGTAAAGCTCATCCCCTTGAGGGCCTTAATATCCGGATCCCTATTATGATCCCCATTAAGGGGAGGGGGCTATTAATCAGGGGTCTACATTAGGTCGGTAAGATGGTGCAAGACATCGCAGTTGTAGTGCTCAAGGCATTGGGGTACGTCACTGGGTCCGACAAGTTCGGAGAAGAAAAGCACATAGTTGCCAGCCCTGCCTGTAAAGAACAACTCTTTGAGGAACAGAGGGGGCACCTTACGAGCGAGTCTGGGCGAGCTCTTGAAGTGCAGAACTTCAGGGCGCTAAACGTGATTCGTAACAGGTATCCTTAGGGATCCAAATAGCCCAATGTAGGTAATATTTACAGACTTTAGGGCCCAATGTAGGTAATATTTGTGTACATGGATCCCTAGGATATTGCATGAAGATCTGAAACGCATACGGAAGGGTACCGCCCTCGCCTGACTGGCTAGTTTATCCCTAATCCCCTCCCCCTTTTGAATCCCTCCCCCCAGCAAGAGATATCCCCCCATATATTGCCACTACATTAACAG